AGTCCCTTCCTTCCCTTCGGACCTTGAGCGAGTCAGAATTCTCCGCTTCCCACGCTTGTGGCACAAAAAGTGTTAGCGCAAGGAAGAACATACAGAAGGCAGTAGCCGAAACCTCGTCAACTCTGTGCCGTAATTGACGATGTTTCGGCCTCAAATGTACCCGATCAGCCCGTGCCGCAGGCATGGCTAACAAGGGAAAGAAGAAACGCCGGCAGTTTTCGTTGGAAGAAAAAATGAAAGTAGTGGAAACCAGTAGATTTCGAGAGGAAAAAAGGAAACGTGGGAAGATGATTCGGCATCACTCCCTCTAGGATTGTCCAAGATTGTCTCGAAGGATCGTGCCAATGTTGAAGAAAAGGTGAGTAAAGCGGTTCTGGGACCAAAACGAAAGAGAATGCGTGGTGCGCTCTGCGATGACATTGACAAGGCAACACAAACTCTTGTGAAATCCAAAATGACAGATTTTCTCCTAACAAAAAGGAGAAAATTACCGCATCTGTGGTCTGTACGTTGGAAGGCATGGCTAATTTGAATAAAGAATATTTCTTTTGAACTTATTTCGAGCAATATTCGACACAACGAAATAATCTGGACACCCCCTTGGAGTTCGTCGTAACGAGATTTGACCTGAATATGTAAAGGGATCAGGATCGTCGCCGCAGGGATCAGGAACCCATGGTTCACGAGCCAAACAAACAGTTTGGCTCATTGAGCCATGGCTAAAAATCATGGTTGTTCCCCATTTTTCTCATGCATGAAAGAATGCACATGTCCGTCGCTCACTTCAGGAAAAATTATCCAATATTAATTTTTTTCGCTAACAAGCACCTACTTCAATCCCCATATGGCTCACATGGCCAAAACGGTTCCTGACCTCTGCTTTATGGTATATATTTAAGAGTTACATGCAAAAAAGTAGGAAATCAATTTTCAATTGCATCCGAAAAATAGTAGAGCAAAAGAACTGTAATGGTCAAGTACATTGCCCTCTGATTTCAAGGAAAGCCTCATTTCTTCCCCTTCATTAAAACAAGTGAGTTCATCCTGAATTTCAGATTACGCCACAATGCCTGCTTTCAAGAGGCAAAAACTGGTGCTCCAAGGCCCTTTCTTGAGGTCCCTTACAACAATTATAGAGCGGAATTTTGATCCAGGGGGGTCGATTTTTATGTTCCCGTAGTACCTTAAATAACTGATATTTTTCATATATGGTATAATATGGTAAATTTATATTAAAAAAATTAAAACTACATATAAAGCACGAATATTTCAATTACAGCCACAAAAGAGCTCAAAAATGCAAAAAATTATAGTATTCTGATAGCGGCCTTAATTCAGGTCGGAAAGGGTTAGACTTTTCAATGCTTTTAAGTAAAGAGAAAAGGTCGCGTAGCTCATGGTGGAAAGTGAAAGGATCCTCTCACGGACTTTCGGGCTGGGATTTCTTGGTTTGTCAGGGCTAGGTTACATCTTCGGAGAAATGTTTCATTGAATTCAATTGTCTTCCTCTGATCTCAATGTGAGAAATCATAGGGAACTGTGCCAAAGGAACAGGGGACAAATTTCAATAGAATCTGGGAAGTGACTCCCTACTACAACCAATTTGACTCCATCTCACGCCGGTTTTCGAAATCTCAGCCACATTGGCTCACCTTTGGCAAATGATTGATCTGGCAATCATTCGCCGAAGATGAACTAACTTCCCCAGCTATGGCCAAACGATAAACCAATGAAATTTTTTGACTGGGCAGCGAAAGTTTGAACGATCTGCTAATAATCCGGGAGTTCCAATTGTGCATCGCATCGCGATTAGCCTACCTCGTTTCACCCGTGTCACCGTGCCGCTTTCACGCGATGTTCCAGAGACTCAAGTATTCTTGAACGTATTACCAGACGTTCAAGTTTTAGAATATCGAAAAGCCATATTGGGCTAAGACTTTCGGAGCTGCAACGGGGGTGGGCGACTTCCAGAGATCTCAACACGGTACTAAAGAGTGTCCAACCGATGTGCATATTCGATTCCGCTACACGGAGCCATGGTGAAATGAGTAAAATGAATGATAATTCCTGAATCTGCAAATATCCCAATCTAATGCCTTTTTCACCCTCTTACACGTTCACATTCAAATTGCTTCGCATGAGAAAATTGAAGGCTCTCAACTCGGCATAGGCAACACAGAGATCGATCCCATCGTTCGCCATATCCACGGACAGAAATCGAAGACGCGCCAACAGAGAAATCGAAGATGCACCATCACTCGCGTGCCGGCATGAATTGCCATGAAACTCGTGAAGCTCATCCTCAGATCTCGGAAGGAATCTAAGCCTATATATTCGTTTTACTACATAAAAAGTTTGAAGGAGTAAATGGAGTAAATATCAGTTGATTTCAGTCCTCTTCAGCATGATTCGCTTCATCCTTAAAAAAGATGAGAATCATTACATTTGTGCTTTTCCGGGGAAACCGCGATAGTCTGCTTTTCAATTTTTCTCGCGGAGGGACGAAGGCCGGTTTCCAAACGACTCATTTTCGCATGGTTCAGGAGGATTCGATCTTACACCTGACATTCTCTTTTTTGCATTTTACCCGGCCGTGCAAGGTGTGTGGGAATGGCCCGTGGGGATGAGGATTCGCTTCAGTCAATCAGGGAAAATCGAGGGAGTGTACACGGTTAGAAACCACCTTGAGCGAAAGTGGGTTCAAGGATAGATGAGTATCTGAGTTTGGAGGAGGATAGGGAAACGAAACAAGTACGGCTTCAGGCGTTCTCGGCTCTTATAAAAAGCGCGGAATGGGCCTTGTTTCAGCAGTTCTTCATTGGCTTCAACCAGGCTCTCGTCTTCCTTCATCAACGCCTGTAAGTTTGTTGCTGTTTATTGGGATCGCGAGCAGTGGCGTAGCCAGGTTTTCGTCAATGGGGGGCCTTTTGTTTCAGCAGTTCTTCATTGGCTTCAACCAGGCTCTCGTCTTCCTTCATCAACGCCTGTAAGTTTGTTGCTGTTTATTGGGATCGCGAGCAGTGGCGTAGCCAGGTTTTCGTCAATGGGGGGCCTAAGCGGAACGTTGGGGGGGCTAACTTCGCCTCGTCGGGACGCATTTCGACCAGAGTTGGGGGGGCTGAAGCCCCCCCAGCCCCCCCTCGCTACGCCACTGATCGCGAGTGAAAAGAGGACATGGTTTGATTGAATTCTCATTAAAACTGGATGCCAAGCTGTTCTTGTCCAACCATATTTCCGCTTGTCATTCCCGGTGCATGAACCGTGCTGGACTGTGAATGACTTGCAAAAAAAAAAAATGGACGGAGGCAAGGAAAACTAGAATGTCTGTATACTTGACGGCGGGAAATGGTGCCCAGGCTGGCGCCATCTCTGGACGATTGAGGGAACTGATGCCCGGGCTGGCGCCATCTCTGGACGATTGAGGGAACTGATGCACGGGCTGGCGCCATCTCTGGACGATTGAGGGAACTGATGCACGGGCTAGCGCCATCTCTGGACGACATAGGGAACTGAGAACGAAAGTATCCCCGGCCGATGACCCAAAGTAATAGTACTGAGTAGATTCCGTTTCAGCGAAATTCGACATTACTGAATAATTCAGTACAACGAATGCTGTTTTTCCAGTCCTTGTAAGTATAATAGTCACTCGTTATAACGAACAAATATTAATAACTAACACCTGATTGTTTACGAAGAGACGATTCTGTGGTTCGCGAGAGTCCCCTCCTTCCCTTCGGACCTTGAGCGAGTCAGAATTCTCCGCTTCCCACGCTTGTGGCACAAAAAGTGTTAGCGCGAGGAAGAACATACAGAAGGGAGTAGCCGAAACCTCGTCAACTCTGTGCCGTAATTGACGATGTTTCGGCCACAAATGTACCCGATCAGCCCGTGCCGCAGGCATGGCTAACAAGGGAAAGAAGAAACGCCGGCAGTTTTCGTCGGAAGAAAAAATGAAAGTAGTGGAAACCAGTAGATTTCTAGAGGAGAAAAGGAAACGTGGCAAGATGATTCGGCATCACTCCCTCTAGGATTGTCCAAGATTGTCTCGAAGGTTCGTGCCAATGTTGAAGAAAAGGCGAGGAAAGCGGTTCTGGGACCAAAACGAAAGAGAATGCGTGGTGCGCTCTGCGATGACATTGACAAGGCAACACAAACTCTTGTGAAATCCAAAATGACAGATTTTCTCCTAACAAAAAGGAGAAAATTACCGCATCTGTGGTCTGTACGTTGGAAGGCATGGCTAATTTGAATAAAGAATATTTCTTTTGAACTTATTTCGAGCAATATTCGACAAAACGAAATAATCTGGACACCCCCTTGGAGTTCGTCGTAACGAGATTTGACCTGAATATGTAAAGGGATCAGGATCGTCGCCGCAGGGATCAGGAACCCATGGTTCACAAGCCAAACAAACAGTTTGGCTCACTGAGCCATGGCTAAAAATCATGGTTGTTCCCCATTTTTCTCATGCATGAAAGAATGCACATGTCCGTCGCTCACTTCAGGAAAAATTATCCAATATTAAATTTATTCGCTAACAAGCACCTACTTCAATCCTCACATGGCCAAAACGGTTCCTGACCTCTGCTTTATGGTATATATTTAAGAGTTACATGCAAAAAAGTAGAAAATCAATTTTCAATTGCATCCGAAAAATAGTAGAGCAAAAGAACTCTAATGGTCAAGTACATTGCCCTCTGATTTCAAGGAAAGCCTCATTTCTTCCCCTTCATTAAAACAAGTGAGTTCATCCTGAATTTCAGATTACGCCACAATGCCTGCTTTCAAGAGGCAAAAACTGGTAGGGAGGTGCATTACTTGTTTGAAAATACAATATTTCAATGCTGAATAATATAAGAAATGAAGAAAAAAAAATCACATTAATTCCAGACACCAATGCTACACCTCTCAAATAGATCAAAGAAAGTAGAGACACAACTCATTCAATTTCATTCCCAAAGAAATACAGCTTGCATGTGTATTAACACCAGAAAAATAATGCCAAATGTACCAGCCAAAAGCCTCACCCTTGATAAGAAATAAGACAACTTAGCATGCACCAGATTCCTTTTATTCCTCATGAACAACTCAATGTACCTGCAATGATCCTGTCATTGGCATGCGCAAGTATTGAGTTGTCAAGAGTCTGTACTCTTCACAGTCTCAGCCTTGATAACTCAGATCTCGAAAAGAAGACTCTGTCATGGTCACGACCATCAGACATTGAGAAAAGCAGCATTGCAAAATAAAGCAGCAAGAAGTGAAACTTTTTTGTTTGGTGCATTGCTCATTGCTTTTGTGAAAAGGGAAAGGCTGAATAAAAGTTGCAATAATTTCTTTTGAAAACTGCAACCCCATACTTCAATATATATATTGATAGGGTCATATTTTTAAATATAACTCTTTTAAGATACAGAAGAATGGATCTTGCACTCGTCAATCAAAAGAGATGAGCTCTCCAACTTGTTCCTCCACTCTGTTCTCATGAAGTGCAATGGAATTATGAGAGGAAGGAAGACCGCTGATCATCGGCATAGAAGGGACAGACTGCTGTTGCATGCTTGGATATTGCGACGCATTTGATGCAGGAAACATTCCTATAACAGACACATCATCATTGCCACAATCCTATGAAGAGACCATCATAATCATGGGGAAGTTCAGATCCTCACCAGGAAACTGATAAGCTGAAGGATGTGGTGGCTGCGTGGAGATTCCAGGTTGAAACATGGCCTGCTGCTGAGGGTGACGTAAGGGAGAGCCATGAGGCATCGGCTGCGATGGAACACCATGTGGCTGCTGCTGTTGTTGTGGTGGTGGGCGAGAATGAGGCCCAATCATCCCAGGTTGCTGAGAAGGCACAATGCCTGAAGGCTGCTGTGGACCAACACCTCCTAACACTGGAGGTTGAGGTTGACCCATGGTTCCTAACACTGTAGGTTGCTGTGGACCCATGGCTCCTAACACTGGGGGTTGCTGAGGGACTCCAGTAGGTTGATTCACCACTACTCCTCCCATATATCCAGCTATGGTATAACACCCATTGATTTAAAACCTTTCGTTTTGGATTTTAAGAATACTTACAATTATAATTTTGACTAATTGAGAGGCAAACATTTTAACCCAAAAAATTCAATGTAATTGATGATGGGACTGAGGGCCAAATCAAGTTGGAAAATATAGTACAAAGAATATGGTTCCTTAAAAATTCATTTATTTTATGATCCAGGCTGATTTTTTGGATAGTGAGGTATAACATGACTGGGACAAAATAAAAAATAAATAAAAAATGAGGTAAAATAAGAAAAATATGAAGAATAAATCTAGAATAAGCCTGTCCTTACTCATTTCTTGACAGTCTTGTAGTTGTTCTTTAATTGCAAGGCTTGTATTTTTTTATTATCCCATAACCCATGTTACACAAACATGTCAGTAAGTGATCTATGCTTTTGTATCAGTCCAGTGTCAACTCAGATGTTTTGTACCATGAAAAACAGTCTTTTAATTGTTCTTTTGTCAGTCATGCCATTAAAATACAATGTAAATTTGAAATGCACTTTAAATTGAAATTCCTTATTATGAAATCTTTTAGCATTGTTTGGATTTGTAAATCTTGAGGTGATTTGGAAATATGTTATTCTGAAAACCTGGTAATCTGAGGGCTGTTAACGGTAATGGTATCTTACTGTAACTCTTTGCTCTATTTCATCCAAAACCATGACAATTTAATTAATATACTACACAGAGAGACAGGAACATCATTTTGATCCTAGGGGTTTATGCATGAGTGTCAGGCAAAACCAAAATATCCAAGTGGCCTACCAGATGGGACAGGGTAAGTGGTAGGGACATGAGGCATAGGGTAGCTGACAGGCATCTGTGGCTGTCCCATTTGATACCCATGCATCTGCTGCTCGTGTCTCATTTGCATCTCGCGCTCCTGCTCATGTCTCATCTGCATCTCACGCTCCTGTTCTTGCATCCGCTGCATTGCCATCTGCCGCTGGTACTGCACATGGGATCAGGCAGAGGTGCATTGTTTGCATTTACCTCACAAGAAAAACCCAACAACAAACCAGGATCCAACATACTTCAAGATATTCCTGTTTCTTCTTCCGCATGATCTCCAGCTTCTGTGCCATCTGGATCTGCCGGAGACGCTGAGCTTCCTCGGCCTCTCGACGCTTTCGGTCCCTGTGTTCTTCCCTTAAGGCATCCAAAGCTGCTCTTGCATCCCGGATCTGGCTCAGTTTGTCTTGAAGACCCTCATAGTAACCTGATAGGTGATCAAAGAAATATGAATAAAAGCATGCAATATACATCACTACCATTTGACCTCAAATCACAAACATCGTTTTCTCTCTTCTTCCTCCATGGCTTGAATGAGCCTGGAATGGAGCGAGGTGATGTTGAGGAAGAGCGTCTGGACATAGGAGTCATTCCCAATGTGTCTTCCCCGGCTCTCATTTGCTCTCATCCGATTTACAAAGATCTCAATCTGGCTTCTAACACCATCCATGAATCCATCTAAGTCATCTGGAACTCCATTCACATATCTCTGTACAGGAATATAAAATCAATACATTATTCGCATCTTAGAATTGCATTCTTTCTATCCAACATAAATGTCTGGATGCACCTAACTGACCTCATTATTTTTGATGGGGGACAAAACAGAGGCTGAAGTAGTTATTACATTGGACACTGGAGCTGAAGGTACATCATTTGGGACACTGCCCTTGTCTTTCTCATGCTCCAAGTTCTTCTTCTCCCAGTAGGAGCGATTGAGATAGCGAGCCAGCTCTGGGTCACTCTCTGGGCCATCAACTTTCTCGGGTGCATTATTTTCCTGTAATGAAAAGAGGCCAACATTATTGTTTACATTCTTGGAAAAGTAACAAGATGATCAAAGTCTGAAAGACTCACTTGAAAGGAAGGTGAGTAGGCAGCAGGTCTGGAATTATACACACCCTTCATCTGCTTTTGCTTATGCTAAATGTGAAGAGAGGAAAAGGAGAAAAATTCAAACAAAGTCACTTGAAATGAAATCAGAGAAATGATTTCTCTCCGTACATCCTTGGATTCGGCTTCAGACTGGGAAAGTGCTAGTGCAAGCTGCAGTTCCTCTTCCTCCCTTAGCTCTTCTTCAGTCTTGGTTGCAGGCAACTTCAACAGTAAGAACAAGAAATAGGAAATAATTATTTCAAAAAACACCTTTTTCACTTTTATGTATGTTGTCCACAGAGAAAATAAAAATCCCAAATTTTAAATCTTCACATACTTGGGGCTGCTTTGACAGGGAGCTAGCTAAGTATTCTGCAGGGAGATCATCTTCCTTTTCCTTGTCAATTGAAGACTTCAAGGATGAATAAATGGATCTGAAGAAAATAGCATAAAACCCACTATCTCAGTCCTTGCCACTTGTTGAATGAATAACAGCACAGTGGACTCCTGACTCTCTCAGGATGACTCACCTGCCATACTTCTCCCAGCATGTGTCACATACCCTGACTTCCTTCTCGATACCAAACTTGGGCAGAGTTGTGTGATGACTGGAGCAGGAATCACAGAAGATCTGGCCACATGCTCTGCAGTGATGCTGTAAGCAGAAGGAATAATCTGAATGAGCTTCCTAGGTTGGCTGTAGATTATAGTTTGTAGATCTAATGTGAACTAGAGGCAGAAACCTTTCTCTTTATCACAGAGAACAGAGTACGGCAACGATGACAGCAATCTCCATCGACCCATTTCGGCGCAGTGTCGGCAGCAAACATGGCATCGCTTTCCTTTAGAGCTGGGAAGGTGTTCCCATCAGCCTTCATAATGTTCACTGTATCCTGTGGTGGCAGGAATACAAAGAAAGTTCATAATAGTGACCATTAAATGCTCACTTACTCTAAAAATGCAAATATACCTGTACAACTCGGTAGCGAGGTTCATTCCTGAATGCATATGCCCAAACCTGAACAAGTTCGAGGATTTTCGATCGCACTTTCTCGTTGCCAGAGCTCTGGACGAGCTCTTGAAGCTCCTCCATGAATGGACGAGTAGCAACTTCATCATGAATCAATGTACCACAATTCTTCATCCATGATTCTAAAACCTGTAAATTATACCATTTCTCCCATTAGTTTCCATAAATAGTACTTTCATGTAAGACAAAACAAAAAATTGGACTCAGACACTAGGCCACAACTATCTCACCTGCAGAGAAAACAGCTGAACATTAGGATTTTTGTCATACAATTTCTTCTTCAATGCACTCAGGGCATATTTGGGCCTGTGCAAAGAAAAAATTTCAATTTAAAAAAATCAATAGAAACTGCAAGCCCTTCACAAGCAGTGTTATGAGACAGGAAATGAACCTACTGTGTATCCCCTTGTCGGATGTGGTCACAAAGCTGAATAGTGGCAGCCAGGTCTGGTTCCAGAAGCAGATGGCTTGTGGCCTTATCTGAAAATTCAGAAAAAGGTATAACTTTGTACCTCCACTAATGCAATTAGTTCATATATTAAGAAGTTCAGATTAAACGAGAAGGCGGGTTAACACAAGGGAGCAACTCGCAGGTGAGTCACTCACGTGGGACATCGTTCCCATGGACGACCATTGTCCGTAAAAGCACTTCCAAGAACTGTAAGTCTTCTCTATTCCATGGAATTACTTGCACAGACAATGACCACCTATGGTATGGATCTCCCATACCCCACCATGTTCGAACCTGCTTTCAGTCCAAGACCCTCTTACCTAGCAATCGATCGAACTGGGACGTGGCTGATCGGAACATCTTCCACAACAGACAACTTCACGACGAATGAAGCAATCAACCTACGGGAGAACGGAATAGGTTACAATGGTTTCAGTCCTTTTATAGGATGGGAGGGAGGCAGATAAGGACGAACTAAATCAACAAGAGGAGGACAACAGTGAGACAGTCATGAACACCAGACCAGGCAGCACGGGGGGAACTCATTGCGTCAAGGACGGGTTCATCGGGGTTGCGAGGATGCTAAGGACCACCTGCTTGCAGACCCAGGCTTAAGAACTTTGACTTCCTGAATTCATATTTAAAAGATAAGCATTTTGGCATTCTTTTATGATGAATCGAATTATTTGAATGAAACTGATAGCCACATGCAACGAAATCTCCGCCTGCCTCGAGCGCTTCATTTGGCAACCTTGGCTAAATGTCAGCCATGTTGGAACGCTGCAACGTGATGCTGTCGCAGTGTCGGCCTGCCGTTGTTTCTCGTATTTGTATTTTTTTCTCCAGGTACTAGTAATTTAAAATTCTCTAGGTTAAGCAATCTTCTAGCCTATGTTTTCAAATTAAATTATATTTACGCTGTTCTAAATAAATTCTATAAATGTTATAACAAATTCGCAATTTGAGAGATTCCCAACTAGCTTTTAGATCACCTACCTGGGTCTTCACCTTTAAATCACTTGCGCCATTTAGGCGAAGGGATATAGTTCAGCGAACTTATTCCCAAATAAGAATATTGATCTAATGCCTGAGTTCACGAATGTTTGCAACTTTTTGGCATGCACAGGGCCGAAGTTGCTGCAGAATGTGAATGTGTGAGCATCAAGGGACAGCAAGTATCATGATATGTTTTACTTGGAGAAGTAATATTGCTTTACATGTTCCAATAAATAAACCACTACACAAACTTAATGCAGGTGGGGAACTTGGATATCTTTTTGGATTGTTTACTTCAATGTTGATAAATCCATGAAATGCATTCAGGTATGCTGAGAATGATGCAGGTAATATTTGAATGTCCTGCAAACTTTGCCAGCTAAGCCCATGAATGCATATAAGGCAAGTACACCATTGAAATAAAAGTTGGGTGGGCAAGGTTGATCTTATAGCCCTCTTATGCTTAACCTGTCAGAGAAGGTGCACTTCTGTCGAATGTTGTGGACTGTCATTTGTAGCACAGAATTCCAAGCATTGAACAGAAAAGGAGGGTTCTTTCTGCTCAGGAGGCTTATGGAGTGTGGTCAAACTTGTATTGGGTTACTATAATAGTCATTCTCCAGAAATGTCTCAAATTTAGAGCTTCACCAGCTAATGGCTTACTTCTCTCTAATTTCCCAGGTTTTTGTGGTGCTTGTTCCTGCATTGATCCATGGCTCAGCATACCCATTCCCCCTTTTCCATTCATGAGATTAAAAAGACTAAAACATGCCCACTAAAGTAGATCTAGGGGGGACATCGGATCATATCGCTGAGGCATTAAATGGCCTTTTGCGGCCACATAAACCTCCAAAATCGGAGGAATCTGCAGCAGAGCTGAATGAGCACCTGGTTGCAACAGCCAAACGTCTATTGATGACCACCATAGAATACGTGACTGCTGAAAGTGGGAAGAGTGATGTCCTCCAGAAACTCAAGTCCAAATACATTGTGTTGAATGATGTACCCAAATACAATGGGGCGGGTAGCTCCAGCCTTACTCCTCAGAATGGAACTCACCCTGCAGTGATGCCTGGATTGACGGACCTACATGTGGATGGTGGGAAACCATCATCGGACACTCTTCCAGATGAAATTGGTGCTCCTCAAGCTGTCCTATTCCCGCTTGAGAAGGTGATTGTGGGATGGGCTAAAAAGTATCCTGTTGGTGCTGGTTTTTACAATATGGGAAACACATGCTACATGAATTCCTCCTTGCAGGTCAGTCTAGGTTTCCTCCATTGTAGGCAGTTCATGCATGTTGATGAGTATGCTTCATATATGTTATGATTATGCTGATGTTTCTTTTAGGTCATGATCCACTGTCCTTCATTTATCAACTGGCTCATGAATCCAGAGAATCATGTAGCCAAATGTAGAGCTAAAAGTAAGTGGCACTTCATCTTTTTCTGTTTGTGAATTTAGAACTGCCCTGAGATTGACTGACTTGACCTTATGTGGTTTAAATCTAAATGGATTGGTTTTTTTTTAAGTGGGAGATGCAGGGCCTTTCCACTGTACCATATGCCCCATGTATGAGACTGTCAGGGATTCCCATGCCAACTCAGGACGAGCTACCAAACCATATAGTATAGTTTCCAATCTGCGATGGATTTCCAAAACGTTCAACCTTGGAAGGCAGGAGGATGCTCATGAATTCATGCGTTTCTTCATCCAAAGCATGGAAAAGTCCTACCTTTTGAATGCTCATGCTACTAAGTAAGTTGGATGGATTCATATCAATCTATCTTAAAATAAATGAGGTGAAATGTATGCCTTAGGAGGTGTCTTCTCTGCCATTGAAGTTATGAGATTAATTTATTTCTACAGGCTTGATGGACGGAGTCAGGAGACAACACCATTGAACCAAATCTTTGGTGGCTATATGAGATCTCAGGGTGAGCTGAAACTGTGAATGGCAAATAATAATAAAAACAAAAGTAATCCTAGTTTGAAACAAAAACTATATTTTCCTTCCAGTGATGTGCCTGAGGTGTCGAAAACCCTCTAATACGTACGATCACTTCATGGACCTCCTTGTGGGTTTGAGTATTCAAAAGTACTCCAGCAACCTCGTGGACATCTTAGAAGGTCACTTCCGACGGGAGCGCCTGGAGGGGGACAATGCATACAAGTGTGCCAATTGCAAGACCAAGGTATCAGCAACCAAGAAGCTCTCCATTGCCCGTCCTCCCAATGTCTTGCTCATTGTTCTCAAAAGGTTATCCATCTTCCTGCTCTTTGGGCAGTTGAGGAAGAAATTTTGTTTGTTCAAGGTTTTGGTTTTTGTCCAGGTTCAGTGATACAGGCTTCGGCAAGAACTGCAGGGTCGTACAATATCCAATGACCCTGGACATGGGAACGTTCCTGAGTGCTCCAACATTCCGCACTGAGGCCCAATACAGACTGACTGGGGTTGTTTCCCACATAGGCTGCAGTCCCCGGTCAGGCCATTACACTGCTGTTGCTAGGGCCAGCAATGGCCAATTGTACCTCTTTGATGACAGTTCAGTAAGTGCTGATTACTTTTCTAGAGTCTCAAATTTAAAAAAATATGATCAGACATTGTTATATCATATTTTTGGCATTTTGTTCCAGGTCCGGCCAGTGCCACCCAACACTGCCTTATCTCAGGAAGCATACATTCTCATGTATGAGAAAGTGAAACTGAACCCCCCTGTTATTCACACTAATATCCCTAGTCCAAGACCTGAGCTCAAATTCCAGTCTTCTTCATCTCACACAGTAACAACTGCCTCCACTAATGGTGAGTGAGGAAGAAACTGAAAGTTGTTCACCACTGTTTGAGTTTTTCTAAAGTTGCCATTAATATAAGATATTCTTAAAGTGCCTGCAAGACTGGGATAGTTATAAAACTATCAAAAGTTTTCCCAGCATTCTAAGTGTATAAGCTTCTGGAAAGTGCACTAATTTTGATCAGGGCACTGTATGTAAGTTTCAATGTATTTTTAAAATACATAGGGGCCCGTAGGTGAAGGATTGCAGGATTTTCAGCTCCAATAATTAATTATTAACCTATATTTGTTATTTATATTACACAGTATTACTTCAGTTTGTTTTCAAGATCTTGTTGATGGCCATATTTGTTTTTTGCTGAAATTGCTGATAAGGATTTTAAACTTTAGTTCATTAATTGGGTAAACTTTCTTATGAGGCCACCCTGTAGCAGCAGAAATGAATTAATAGCAAAGGTCAGGTGGTTGGCCTCTTGTCATGCTTTGGCTTCAATGAAAGTTTCTTTGATAGCATGGTGCCTTATTTCATGCCATCTTGCTTGTCATGGGATAAAGACAATTCTTGTGAATCTCCTAGGGCACTTAGGCTCTCCTTTGCTGAAACCGAAGCCTGGTATCATAACGGGTACTACATTCAAGATCCAAGGTCCAGTTGTCAAGCGGTAAGTTCTTACTTCTTGTTACCATTGTTCTTACCATTGCAAGTGAAATTCTCATACTTGAATTAACTACCCTGTCAATTCTACAGGCCATTGCTGGGTGTGGTGTCCAATGGGAACCCCAAACCTCCCCCATCAGCCACATCCCTTGCCCCTCTTTCAACCCCTCCAGTAAGCCTTGCCAATGGCACAAGGATCCCTGATGTAAAGGAGACTTCACTCGTCCCCTACGGAGATGCTGAAGATTCAGATGAAGATCATAGCCCCAAGTCCACTCCCCCTCGAGTACCTCAGCCCACGTCCTTCCCTGTTGTAGGGGTCTCACCCACGGTCTTAAATTGTGATAAGAAAGAAGCTGGACTCCAAATGCTCCCTCGAAATGTTCAACTGAAAAAATTGTCCACCATTAACAATTCAGTTGATAAGACTGCGAAATCTGACAGTGCAAGTGTTGTTGCTACTTCTTGTGGACTGTGGACTGTGACTGACACAAAGGATGATAAAGCAAAGGACAATGCTGTGTCCGAAGTGGTGGACAGTATTGACACAGGACCTAGCATTTTGGACAAGCCCTTGAAGGTTGACAGCCAACTTCCATCAGACAAGCCAAGTAGACTGGAGGAAGGCCTTGAGAAGGCATTGAAGAAACAAAAGAAGAAGAAGAAGAAGAAAAGGAAATTCCAAAAGTTCAAGGACAAGGTGAAGAAGAAGTTGAGGATACATAAGGAGAAGAAGAAGCACAAGCGAAGAAGTTCTTCACCATCATCTTCATCAGCTTCTTCACCCCCATCATCATCCTCCACTTCCCTGTCCTCCTCCTCATCGTGTTCTTCATCTGATGATGAGGATTCCAAGAAGACATCCAGGTCAGGGCACTTTTCTCATCCCATTGTGAATTCATTGATGTAGTACTATATCAGTAATGGATTTTGCTGGAGAATATCCCTCTTCTGACTACATCCTTGAGCATGATGTGGGAAATTGACGGGCCAGGATGACTCCAATTTAGAGAATTTTATGTAAATTGAAATACAAAAATATTAACCAATGAGTTGCTATCTACTAACAGTAGTAGTGTTAATTGCACAGTGAGTAGATGATTGTGCAATTGCATGAACAATTAAAGTTGTCATGCATGCCATAGCATAAAATATCGCAGAAAACAAGTCATCATACACACTCAATTGGTTAAAGCCTATCTTAATTCAGAAAAGATTCCATAATATGCGTGCTTCGTTTGACAGGGAACGCAAGAAGCAGAACTACGAATGGGTGGAGGTAACAAAGGATGTGAAATCTCAGTCTCAGGAAAGGACCAAGGAAGAAAAGGACGTCGTTAAGGAACTCCTCGATGTTCCTCCCGGTGGATATGGCTCTTCTGGTGAGAGGCAACTACTGTGGTGTGATATTCCAGTTGCTTGAAAGTACTGGTGTTTGTGAAAGCATGTTCCTTCCTTTTCTCTCCTGCAGTGCTATCATGGGACGGAAGACCTAACAAATTAGACACAGCATTAAAGCAATCTCAGGAAGATGAACGCCGACGACACAATTCTGGGGACTCGTGGGATAAGGACCTGGACAAGGGAAAGGTATGAATGTTTCCAAAAAATATATATTACTCTACAAAGGCAAATGCAGAATTTCAAAAAGTTCTTTGGCTTGTAATTTTGTGGGCCTGCCTTAGCATCTCAACCTCCTACAGCAGAGTTTCCTGCAGAAGTTCTTCAATGCATGCAGGATTGCCATAACATTCAACAATGGCAATATGGATAGTCTGGGGACTTTGGTTTGGGAGGGTCTTTTAGTTCTAAAATTTTTTATGAAGATACAGCAGTCCTCGGCCTATGTTTATGGGCACCCTAGTTGTTTTGATTATCATGGTATGAGTCTCTGAGTCTCTCTCATAACATACCAAGAGCCTATGGAAGCATTGACCAAAGGTTTAGGAATTTACTCATTAGACAGGTTGAGAAATTTATACATGGAAGCTTGCTTGCATGCATGAAGATAGAAAAGACTCATTTCTTGGAAGTTCTCTCAGAGGTTGTCTATGGAAACTCACTGGTATGAGAGTAAATTTCATTTGAGTATGCTTGCATTCGTGAAAATCCTGTTCTGGGTTGGGATTCTGACCTTGATGTGGGGGGGGGGGAAATTCCATCCAGATACATGTGGATGTTATGTATTATAATGTTAACAGGCTTAGGTTAGGGTTTGGACTTTACACTTCTCAAAAATGTTGTAGTATCCAAATGACATGGAGTGCTAACTTGTTGCGTTAATATTTCATTTTTATTTAGAAAATGAGCATTTTGTAAGTGTGAATATTTGCTGACATGATCTTGTTTATTGACAGATGAAGAAGTCCAAATATTGGGATGAGGAGAGGGGAGAGAGGGAAAACAGGTTCCAGAACTTGCAGAACGAAAGGAATCGAAGTCACAGTCATGACCGCCACGAGTGGCAGGACGACTCCCGGCGATTTCATGACAACCGCCGTTCCCACGACCACGGTTGGGAGCGCTGGCGAGGCGGAGCGCGGTATCGTCCCTATCACAAACCTCATTACAGGCATCATTCCTCCCGTCGGGATCACTGGTACCGGCCAGGCCAACATTGGCAAGACGATTACAAGCGTCATCGGTCGTGGAGGTGAAGAACTCTGCAGTGTTCTCCTTAAACTTACTTGCTTTGTGCCCAAGAGTGTCTTGGATGTGATTGAAGTTTGGAAATGCTGTTGACACGAGTGGAAATGCGGGAACGAGTGATTACGTTTATGTATGATTTTTATTTCTGGGAGAAGTCTTGGGTAATCTGAATGTTGTGTTGAGTTCAGTAAAAACCAGTTTTCTTCTTGATTGCATTTGTTTTACACGACTTATAGCTGGCATTTCCAAGGCTCAAGAAATTAAAAAGAAATCCTGACTACGATATATTGGCTTTTTTTCTTTCTTTTCCCTGCATCCTAAATCCTTAGCTATCCTGACTGATCCAAAATCCACTGCGGCAATTTGATAATGGAAAACTTGGAAAGAGGGGCTCAGAGACAGTCCAGTGCTCCTCTACAAATATTCCTAATCCTCCGTGTCCCCCCACCCCATCTCCGTCCTATCTGGAAGATTTAGACTTGGTGAAGAATAGCGGTTTTTGACGGACTTTGCCAGATGACCAGACCGAGAACTGGACCGTACCGTCGAGAACCGAAGCAGTCGAGCGTTTGCATGTCAAAGCACCACGAAGTCATGAATAACCCGCAGCTATTAATACGTCTTTCCCTCCGCAATCTTTCGGCCTTTCCCAACGCTTCCGCATTCGACCAAACAACTTCCGAAGGGAAGAAAGACGCCGATTCCAACTTCCTCGCTCCCCTTCGACCGAATTTTCAACTGAAAAAACGCTTAACTCTTTTGTGTTCATCTAAATTTTTCTTCCAACAAATTTATAAATTTATCCGGCACCGGACAGAGTTCCCCGAGAATCGTAAATGAAACGCACGATTCATCTCTCCCATCGCAAGTGCCAACCTCGATTCTCAGGTTCCAGATCGCGTGGCGTGAGGCGTTCGCTTCTAACCGCGGACCTCGAGAGCGGACTTCGCGTCGCGAGCTGTCGGGTGGAAGATCACCTGTTTTTCCTGTCTGAGATCCCCGGGTTCGATAAAAACAGATCTTCGGTGCCTATCGCGATGGGCCGAGTCGCGTTCACGTCAGCGCGGTTGCGTTTGTTTATCTTTTTCCTCGTCTTCGTTTCCCAGAATCGAATGCATTCCGTCGGAGTCGCATCCCATTTTCGTCACGGGATTCTGAGATTTAAAAACGTTCGCAGTTTTAGTTGTAAATCACGGAGAACGATAAAATCTGGCTTGGCTGCAGAACCGAACACGAAGATCCACGAGTCGCCTCATCGCACTCCGCGACTCGTCACGAATTCATTTCCCCCCAACGACCCCCGCACAGAGAATTTCCTGAAATTCCAGGAGCTGGAAAAGATTCCACCGAGACCATCAGGAAAGAGCTGATACATCCCGAAAACGAAGCCAAGTCATCCCCGGCACCCACGACTGCAACAAGCATCAAGCGAGAGAGAGAGAGAGAGAGAAACATTGTTAAATGTCCCCTTGATAGGACAGCCAGCCCCTCAATCCCTTTCCCTCCCACCTCTACCTCCTCTCCTTCCCTCCCACTACCCCTCGTCCTCATTCACGGCTGTGATCTCCCCGACCGGCCTCTGTCACTTCGCCCAGTCCCATGCGTACCAAGCTGTGACGAGTCTCAAGTCATGCTCGAGTTCGGCAAGGGTTTCGTGAAGTGCATCCCCTGCCAATCCCGTGAGTCCCCGTTCTCAACCGATTCCCTTTCCGCATACCGTGTCGAACACAAACCATCAAAATCGATGTCATTTGCACGACGATGGAGCGATTTCCTCATAAGACATCGCTTCCCATAGATACGAAATTCCCAACCCGCCTGTAATGAGCAGCCGTCTTTACTGACACACCTCTGCCGCGTATAATTTTGATCGTGTTATTTTTTCACGTCGAAAGAAAAATTCATGCGGTAAGGCCGAGTTACCTGATGAATTCCTATTGGTAGCATCTGACTAAAGAAGGAAATGTAATTGAGAGAAAGGTACACTTTTCGGTGACTTGCTGGTTTTTAGTAGGCCGTGACGGAAGGCTACCTTTACACACTCAATTTACCCACCACTACCCAAATTAGGCTGGCTTTCCCACTCTTTCAGCCATGCGCCTCACTGGGTATTGGTATATATATGATTAATTAAATTACACTGTTTTCACATTAATGGCTTCGTACGCAGTTTTAGTGCAAAACGATGTTATTGTTACCACGTAGTTCTGCTGCATGAAGATTATGCAACCTTGGCCACGACCTTGATTCATACGGCTCGAGTCACCGCCAATAACGCGATGCACGTCATCGCAGCCTCGGGAAATATTCGTCGACTGTGGATAATGCGTTTTCTCTTCAACGGAGTCTCCCTTACGAAGTCCTCACGGGGACACGATTCCGATTTGGCCCGATTTCGCGGAATCGGAAAGTGGTCACGACGGGGGGAGACGAAGGAGGTCGACAGGACCGACGACCTATTTGCTCTCCGCTCACCGGGAGCGAGCATATTCGATTTTGGCTGTCTCTGGGTAGGTAGTAGTGCGTATCCCATGCACTTTCTTCGGTCTTTTTTTTTGGCTCAGTTTTTGCCGGTTCAACGATTCTTTCTCGCTCGTCGGAGAAAGTGGATGTGGTTAAGATTGCGAAAGGATGCTGCAATCCGCGGGGGCATTGTCACCCGGTCCCGAATTCGATTCGGCCTTTCCGGAGAAAAATCGAATACACTCGCTCTCGCTCTTCCGGGTTGGCATCGACCGCGTTCCAGCTTTCCCCGTCTTCCTCGTGAGATTATGTTCATTCTATGGCCTTCAGATGATTGAAGTTCTCTGAAGTCAAGTCATTTTAGAAACAAATTGGATTGTGAATAAGCAATTCCTTTCCTTCAGCTCAGTCGAAAACCCACCTTCACGTATTCTTCTCTGAGTGCCTTTAGGGAAATGAAATTCTGCACGCTCCATTTCCTCGGAGTACAGAATCACTCTTCCAATTTTGAAGTTCCTTTTCCACGGGTGAATGGAGGAAAAAGGATCTCATTCTTAGTCCATGTGAGTTTTCCGGTTTTTTTCCCTCTGACACAGGCATGAGAAAGATCTGGGCTTGTAGAGCGTGAGAAATCCCCCTTCCGGTGTTGTCGATGTGTGGTGCGATTCGTGGAATGGCTCATTGTGCGCATTGCGCAACGTTTTGCTGAATGGACGCGAAAATAGGATAATTGCGTACATTCTCCTCGCTTTTTTCAGGTCGTGTTTATTGCAAAGCTTAGAGCCGTTTCTCATCGGATTTTCCCCTCTGCGACCACACATTTCTGTGCTTATACCAGAAATTATGAATTCCGCGGCTCAAAACGGCTCCTAAACCGGAGTCCGAGTCACGATTTGCACGATTCTGAAGTGTCTGGTCTACCCGACAGAAATAAGGATCATGTTGAAATGTTCACTAAGGCTGAACGAATTCATTTTAAACCTGAAGATCTGAACGAAAACTCGGGTTTTCCACGAATCATTCGAGAAAATTCACGGTATGTTGGAACAAATTCGTTCAAAACCGTTACTTCCTGAGAAACTTGTTTCAGCCACACCTGGATTCGTAATTCGCCTTGTTTGCCCAGGGAACTTGGAATAAAGAGGCTCCAACACGAAAGGTCATCTCTCGTTCTCTTCGATGATGCTCGGGAATCCCTCCTGCGAAATTGTGTCCATCGTGAAAAACAAAAATTGCTTTCAGCGGCAGATGGCACAGTCATATGGACACCGCAACGCCAATAATGGGAAGCCTGTAAAGTGTCACCTGTTAGCACGATCGATCTGTCAGGCGATGGTCGTGTGGGTCTTCAACTATTTCACCTGGAATTTTAAAGTCGAATTCGATTTGCTGAGAATGAAATAAACATGGCTCGTGCTCAAAGCTTCCAATAAACAGCATTTAATTGCTGATTTCGCGCAGTTCCCCTTAACACTGCTTATTTCCTGCAACAGGCACAATTATTGCTAAAGTCACGGAGGCAAAAATCGTTCCGAATGCTCGCAATGAACAGTTCTGCCGGTCTGGCCGATACTCGACAGACGCACCATACAGAGAGGCGAAAATTCTCGCTCGCAACGCTCGCACGACTTCGGGCGGAACGAACGGGACGACGAGAGACCGAGACAGTCGGGTCGAGCGACAGACGTGGACGCGCGTGGACATTCTTCGCCGATGACGCCCCGCGTCCATTTCTACTCGTAGTACAGTCTGTCCCGTTCGAGAAGAAAGATGGACAAGTCGTCGTCCCGATTGGCCCGGAACTCTAAGGTTGAGAACTCGTGTTTTATTGTTTCATTCGATTTCACTTATTCGAATGCCACTTTACGGAATACTGATGAGTGGTTCAGACTATAAGATGCATGATTAAAAAAAACTGCATTTACTGAAAAGGTCATTGAAATAATACGTTTAAAGGAATACGTTTTCTCAAAACTGGAGTCCAATTTTTTAATTTCTTGAAAACAACTTACATTTTCTTTTTAAAAAATATGCCCAAATAAATACTGCACTGTTGCATTAGGTTGATAGAATACTCATGGAAATGGAGTGAATTTAACTGGTCCCGGAATTATTCCAATGTGTTGGTAATAGTAGCCCTTCGTGTGACGTTCTGCCTTCGTTCCTCACGATGTCGTCGAAAGGGGTGGAAACGATATGCCTTGGCGCCGTGGAATCGCGCTCTTCTCATTGCATCTCGAATCCATTTGTCTCGTGTCCGTCTCCTGCTGACGTGCGATAACCAAGGGGGATGGTATCATGAGCGAAAGTTTTCAAATCTTCCTGTATCTTTCCCAAGACAACTCGTTACCATGTTGGGGTGTCAAGGTTACCCAATGAATTCTCTTGCCCGCTTTTCTCTTTACGAAATTCTCCCGAGCCGTCACGGAATAGACGATTGCTTTGAGTATCGTTGGGAAGGCTTGGTTTCGGGATGCAACGTCGGGGAATCGGGGGAAATCGAAACGAAAAGTTGGTCAAATTGGCTGCCGAGCCAGACCTAATATACATATTAATCGCGGGGTGAGTACCGAGCATTCCCCTCGATTCGACTCTCAGCGGAGAATCGAGAAATATTGCAAATAGTTAACACAATATAACAGGAGCGTAATTTTTCTCTCCCTTTGGTAAAACGACCACCTAAAGATAAAACCCCGGAGGAAGTTTTGCTAATTGCTCACAGTCCAGGTGGGCCATGCTCAAATATTAATCCATTGTTGTACCATTGTTGTACCATTGTTGAACCGAAGGAAAATTAAAACATGTATGCTTATTTTATTCCAAGATTCCTTTTGAAAACGTGGCCGTACACGATCCCCATAGTCCCGCGGATTCGTGGAAATAACTTCATCCATTGTTTCAGCATCCTTGAGGATCGCGTCTGCTAGTCTCAGCAGAAGGGCTCAGGTAAGCCCAGCTACATGACATCACATCCTCGTGACGTCACGCAATGACATCCTTTATCGGTTGATGTGGTGACAGCGACTCAGATCTCAGACTCGACAGCGTTCACTCACCACTATAGACTTTAGTCTCGTTTTCCACGTTGACATTGGGAACTGTATCACTAATCTTTTAAAATACTAGCGAATTTCGGTACAATGATTGCTATTGTCAATGGCTGAAGTATTTTTTTTTTTGTTGGAGTGGCAGGATTCAAACCTTGCCTATGCCTTGTGTATTTTTTTTTCTTTACTGACTTTGGCCCGAATGCACAAACCTCATTTAGGCGAGGTAAAGGGGCCTTTAACCAAAAGCGCCCTTTTTCCCCCAGAGGAGTCCATGTATTCTCAAAGGACTGTCAGGGGCGTCATTTCGGGGGGGGGGGGGGGGGGGCCGGGGGGGAAACTGCCCCCCCTTGTGTTTTGGGGGGGGGGGGGGGGGGGGGTGGGGGGGGGGGGGGGGGGGGGGGGGGGGAGGCACGGTGCGGAAACTGCTCCCCCTTGTGTCTTGAATAGATTTTTTTAATAGCCACTTTTATTTCCTGTAATGGAATGAATGGCTTGAAAGTCAGCCTTCAGAGCTCTCGTACGGCATGGTTATTATGGTTCCTGTTTTTGTTTTTGTTAAGTAATCCCAGCATAATTACGTAAATTTATATTTGTTAAGTTGGATAAGTCTTCGGGGAACACAACCTCTCCTAGAATTACTGTGGCAACCCTGTGGCCGAATTCAGAGCCAGCAGGACCATACCCTACCTTGGGAATATTTTGGCCATGCCTGAGAGGTTCCAACCGGTTTTTAGTATTTTCTTTGGCAATCCCATACAAAACGTACGATTCATATGTTGCAGAGATGGACAGACTGAGCAGCACGGCGCCATTTTGGGAGCACTTTCTGTCTTTGATCCATGGTATTCAAACTTCTTAATTGAAGGAAGTGCTTGGATTCTTTTCTATCGCTGTCCAAATAGAAAAATTGCTTATGTTGTCTTAGGTGTGCAGCTTGTAACTACGAAAATGTGTCTGGAGAGCTCAAAACCAACAGGCATTCATGACCTCAGAGATGCGCTCTCGAAACTTCTAGTTGCATATGCTGAGGTCTTGGAGCTAATTGACCTCGTTTTCCCTCTGCCTATGCCGACTGAACAGAGAGACTCTTTTTCACTGTGAAGAGAGCGGAAAATTACTTGCGATCTCGCTGCGGGAACGAGAGGCTGAGCGATCAACCGTTGTTAGCAGAACTAAAAGAGGATGTGAAGGAAGTGGACATGGAGGAAGTGATTGATTAATTCACAAAAATGAAAGTTCGTCGTAGCTCGCTGTTGCGTAAAATCTGATTCGTTTAGTGGGCATTAGAACAGTTTGTTGTGTAGCCTAAACCAGAAAACTTCAGCGAATCTTCTTCATGCCTCTTGTATTTTCATACGAGAGATTTCCTGCTGCTGAGCGCAACCATGGGTGTAGTTTCATCTAATTCAGGGGTGTCAAACATACGGCCCGCGGGCCGGATCCGGCCCCCAGAGGTGGTTCATCCGGCCCACCATCTGTTCTTGAAACTTCCGCTTGCATTGACAGTTTGCACAAATTTCGGCGAAAAATTATGGGTGTGGCCCGCAGGCATCTGCAGGGTAAGGAATGTGGCCCGCCGACCGATTTGAGTTTGATACCCATGATCTAGTTAAATACTATTCTTCTTGCAGCCAGCTTCATCTTACAGTGAAGCGAGGATTTTTGGCGCAGAATTAATTTCGCGAAATCCCAAATTTTGGCTTTTCATAATTTCGCGAATTTTAAAAGTTCGCGGACTGGATCACCCCCTATGTTTTGAACATTAGCCCATACGAAAAAAAAATTCACATGCTTTAATAGCTTGTTAATTTTTTCGGATGGATGTTCGGATTGATGTTCATTGTTTCTCGTAAAATTCGCGTAATTGAAATAGGAGCTAAACTTTCTCCCTGAAATTAATTTTTTCTCTCGAGTTTCATAGCTTCTTTGCCCCCCCCCCCCCCCTACCCCTTGCAGTGTTACCAAATGACGTCCATAAGGACCGTTAACTAAAGGAATTTCAGCATTTGAACCTTAATTTCCATATTCGTGAATCGCTAGGTGGGGATGCCGGCACGTACGCGACAATATTATTATTTATTTTTAATAAAAGCAGGAAGGTTCACTTTTTTATATGTAACCTGTCTTTTTCAAATCTCCTTCTGCCTAACGACTTTGTTTCGGTCCGAAACTTCTGATCCTTGTTTCATTACTTGCTTCATCGAGCGAACGTAATTTTCATTTAAGATGCCGGGATCACACGAGATAATGACCACATTGTCAGTGTCCCGACCCAGCACAATGGAAGGTCAAGCATTTTTTTTCGTGTATTCGTAGGACGGGCTTTGGGTGGTACGGCTCGAATCGAGTCGTCATTATTCCGTCTCCTAGAGTATGATTTCCCATTTTGAATTAATTTGGTCTCCGTTACAGGGAAGATTTCATTAATGTCCGTATCTCTCGCTGAAAGGCGATAGTACCAATGCGTGGTTCTTATATTGCGTTTTTTGTGCTTAATCACGAGTCGCATTTACAAGGTCATATGTGAAGTTCGGTGTCACCAGAAACCTTTTAAGAGTAATCCCAACAAAAATAAAACCCTTGTATCATTACCAGTGGCGTATTTTACGGGCGAGGGGGGGGGGGGGGGGGGCGCCCCCTGGGAACGTTCCTGGGACAGCGCGCCTTTGTAGGTAATAATTTTCTCCTCTGGTATCGCTCGGGTGGGGTTTGGCGGTCCCATTATGCTGCCCTGCCACCCAGGCACTTCAGCCAAACTGCACCACTGATCATTGCTACATGAAAATTGTTTTGATCCTATCCAGTGTTGGAATCATAGGCATAGGAACTTTTCTAAAAGCATGTGTGTGTATGTGAATGTGTGTATGTGTAAGGGGGGGGGGGGGCCACGAACGAGTGAGTCATTCCATGTCTAACGGTCTAACTCTTCCCTCAGAAGAACGTATCCTTTTGCTCTACTTGGAAACACTTCAGAAATTACTGTACCTTTTCTTCTTGTGAAACTTTAGCATCCTTCACAGAAATAGAACCATTACTTACTACCGTCACACACCTGTTCCTTTTTCCGCACTGGAATTGCGTGTAAAGATAAGATGATTTATATCTCACCGTGTGACGATGTGCACACATCTAACATCGTCATTGTAGAGGAGTCAGTAGTGCTGTTCTTTGTCAAGTGAGATCCCGCCTGCTCTTCCAGTGAGACCCCCAGTTTAACCATTCCTCCTTCATCCTTCGGGCTGGGTTTAATTTCTTAAGAGGCTTAAAAAGGCTGAATAGGCGACTGCGAGTGTCTTCCCCTGTTATCTGTGGGAAATGATCTGGTAACGTAAGAAAAGTACTGGGAACTTATTCCCCAGGCGTCGAAAGGTGATGTAACGCTCGCCATTTCGGCGACTTCGATGTCATCTAACTTTGATTTTATGGAATTGTGTTGGATCCAAAAATTGTCAGATGGCTTGCTTGCTGCTCATTTTTAACAGTTACTGCAGCATTTGCGTTAGGCGTTGCAGCATTTTTAGTAGTATTTTAAGTGAACGTTTTGATATCAGTTTCAGAATCAACATTTAAATGGGAATTTTCATGGTTGTGAACACACCCACTTCCTCCTATATACAGGGTGGGCCAAAAGTTGCTATACACTTTTTGTATGCTGAAATAGCTGTGTTGCTAATTTGGTCCTCTATTTTCAGAGTAATATTGCTGGTAGCATGTAAAATTACAATGCAAGACCACTTTTCTTTGTTATTTATGCTTTTGTTGTAAGCAGTTGTCAAAATGACGTTAGACATGAAACCATACCTATATTCAACATCTGTATAATGACTTTTGCCCCACTCTGTATATCTTCATGGATACATCAGACCCGTAGAAGCATAGCTGAACAAAAAGCAATGTATCCATAAACCAATCGATTCATTAAAAATAATGCTGAGCAACGTCTCGGGACACAACATCCTTCTTCGTAATGATCTTAAATTGGAGGAGAGGAGAAAATGATGAGTGTCACACAACATAAGAGGTAGAATAGAGGAGGGAGGAAAGTAAAATGAAACAGGAATGGAAGGTTAAATAATAAATAAATTAAAAGTTGTTAGTTCTAAAAAAAAATTAAAAGCGCAGTTCGGCAGCAGACGCATGGCACAGAGCAAGTGAATGCAGGTGAGGAAGGCGAGCGCAAGAAAATGAGCCAGATTCGATTTAGGAATCGATTAAGGCTCAACTCTATGCCAGCACACACGTTACATTTCGGAGGCAGAGTAGACCCTGATACACGCAGGTCTCTAGCAACGCAGTAACAACGTGGTGTCTGCTAGGCAGATGCTGGATGTGACATCTGGCATTGAGCGAGAAATACTGAAGAATTAGATCTCCTGTCCATGTCCCTCGATACTAGTGGAACCAGTGCATACCATGGAAACTCGAGCCTCTAAACACGCCCCTCGCAAGACATCCTGGAGGAGCAAGGAATGACTGTCACGTGTAAGCTGGGAAAGGACTCGTGCTCTCCACCCGACTCTCGGGAAAATCGTGGATTCTCATCCGTGCCAAAATGCACTGGTACGACCACTCCTAGACTTGTCTACTTAATCGTACTGAGCATTGTGTGGAAGTACTTTATCCCCCCCCCCCCCACGTTGCTTGCAAACGGACATTGGTGTTTGCAGTAGAAATGTCCTCTTCATGCGAAATTTTTTTAAAAACATCGATCTATTCTTACTTATTAAACTTCCAATAACATGCATAACTACTGGTAAGCTTATGAATGTGACAAAATCGCTATGAGGGAAAAATATCAAGTATATTTACATTTTGAACGTTCCTCGAATATTGTGTTGAACTAAGTGCTTCAGTTGCTGAAAACACATGAACGTTATAAAGGACGTAAGGTTAGGTTGTCGAGGTTAAAGTTGCCCTCTCTAGACCTACAGCAACATGAATAATTTTTTTCGACATTTCATTAGAAAAGCAGGAAAGAGAAAAACTCGTTATGTTAAACAGCTGGTCTGTAGGCTAAGCAATGGAAGTGCATTTCGTTTCTGCGGCTGCATAGGAAACTAACCCCATTAATTTTCTTATCGCATCAGGTCTGCTTTATTGGGATATTAGTATAATTAAAGCCAGATTCTACCTGCGTTCAAACAGGCCATAAAAATATGATTCAGCAAAGAAAAGAAAAAGTGGCAATATCCAAGCCCAGCAAAGTCCCCAATCCACTCCCGCCACTTGCGTTTTAACCTTCGGAGGAATCCAGAAGTGAGGCCAGGAGTTTCTCTCGAGGACGAGCCCCGCGCAGCCACGTCGTCCACTCGCCTGGCAACGCCACAAAACGACACTATACAGCTGCTGAATGATTAATGTGATCGAAGAGTTCATTGGCAGTTGTACCGGGGAAAGCGAGCGGCATACGAAAGCGAGTGGCGTAGCCAGGATTTCACCGATGGGAGAGCTTAGCGGAACGGTGGGGGCTTACTTCTCCTCGTCGGGGGAGGGGCGGCTGCATTTAGATCGGAGTTGGGGAGGCTTGAACCAAACTTGAGGGGATTGTAGCCCCCCCCCCCTCCTCCACCGACGCAAGAGCCATCTGTGGTTCATGCTCCAAGCGAGAGAAGTAAAGGGCCGGGGGGCGTGCCACGTGTGCGCAGCGTGCGTGCCCAACGAGTGCATTTCATCGGGAGACGGACGCGGATCGTGTGCCCGCCCTCCGCTGTGATAATGCGTGAAGGAAAAAGCGTCAGGGTGTAGATTGAAGTGAAGGCCTGTTTATGGCCCGTTATGAGCCCCTGGTGCCTTCCACGTCCCGCGATCGCAGGAGCTCCCTTTACCTCAATGGTGAATGTCATTCTGACTCCTTATTTCTGATGGATGTTAGCCAAAGGAATGTTATGGGCGTTCTGCGCTGGTTTTCGCAGCCGTTCTGTTTATCATGTGGAATCCCTTGCGTGAACCTAGCGCATGCGGATGCCTGTATAATCTAGGGCCAGACACGTGCGCTCAGTATGATTCTGGATGATGGATCAGTGTATGTAGTTTCGTATTTGCGCGTGTTTCGTAGGCCTATGATACCCTGCTCAGGGGGTTTCTGTCAATCTTGTGGATCCTTGAGGTTTCGAGTTGGTGCAAGAAGCACTCTCGTCTTCAAATGGTTAGTATTTGCATTCCGCAGGCCTAATAGCTGATGGCGGCTGTCACAGAATTTTGTCTGGGTATGTGCCACCGTCACAGCTGCGATCACACATACTAACATTTTGGAGTCTAAGGAGTGACAGTGTCATGGTGCTGTTATCAAACTTGAGTCTAGATAGGCCCTTACAGTAGGCTGAAAATTCATATCTAGGATGTGACAAGAGTCAGCAAGTTGGATATATCTGTTCTAGTTGTGTTGTTTGTGTGACTGTTGGAAATGGGAGGATGTGACAGATATGTAGAGGTTGGGAGAGAACTACTATGTGTAGGATTCCCAGATGTGGCTAATAAAGAATTTGGATAGCAATCCGAATTCCCCCCTCTGTTCATTAATAACAAACCTCTGTTAGCTGCAGTCTGAAAGGAAAGTGACAGGTTTGCTCAATGACATGACAATCTGACCTAAGTTGAGAGCTGCACATGCAAATTGGGTTGAGATCCAGGTGAAGTGTGGTATATACCCATTGAGTGTAAATCTTTGAAGGCAGATGGTGCTTTTCCTATAGTGAGCAAATATTAGACTTTAAAATTTGCTAGGCAATCTCCTTTTTGGATGCAATTTTGCCTAAACAGAACCCATCCTGTATTGTGCCCATACCTATCTACATACCAACTTTCAGAGTGATATATTAGCTATTTTTAAAAGTTATAATTGTTAACACAGCTGGGAGATGTATCTACAGGCAGGATGGGACTATTTGTGGCCTTTTCTCTATTAAGGTGGCCCCCAAAAGTATTTCATTCATCCAAAGATTGAATTCAGCTGAAATGAAGTTCTACTTTCTTCACTTTGATGGATTTGCTTGTATTTTGCACAGGACATGAGGGAGATGAAGGGGAAGCAGGGATCCTGTTGGAATCCTTTGATGTGGAACCTCTGGGGCCCCGGGAATGGGTTACAGCCTGCCTGAGGAGGGTGTGCACTGTCAAGACTGTGCAAAATAAATTTCCCATCATCAAATGGTTACCCCAATACAATATCGAGAAGTTGGCATATGATGTCATTGCTGGGTTCACCATTGGGCTCACTGTCATCCCACAGGCCATCGCCTATGCTGCTGTTGCCACCTTAGAACTTCAGGTTTATTTAAAATAATATTATTCTAGGATATATTGTTCTAGGATTCAATCAATCCTCATTGCTTCCTGGAGAGGGAGAATGACCTCAGCCAGTAGGGTACTGGCATGGAATGGGATCATTGAGTCATTCCATCTCAAGGGTCTGGAATTAAAAAGAAGTTGTAGGAATCATCTTGTTGATTTTCTTACATTTGCCACAAGGGTTCACCCCATTGAGAAAGAGAATGATATCATATCTCACAGGTTGTTCCTATGTTATGTGAGTGAAAGATTTTGACCAAAACACTCTTTCATGTGGCACTCTCAGTGCAAATATGTCTGTATGGGGAAAACTATTCAATGTGGAAAGTGGTTTCATGCTTTATTGCAAAGTCCTTGAAGAGATCTCTCATCATTTTATTCTTTCCTCATCAAATGGCCTACCTTTGTTAAAATGATGTATAAAACATTTGATCTTGGATAACATCAAAGCTTGAAGATTGTGACCCTTTTTCATGAGAACTAGGAGTTTGTATGAAAAAATGTCATGCTTGATTTGTTTTCTTCCATAAGGCAAACAAACTTCCATGAGGTGTTCCACAAATGTTGTTGGATAATTGATATGGAATGACCCCCTGTTAAAAAAAAGTCCAAAGTAGAGAAACTTCAATGAGTGAACATCATAGTTTTATTATATTATGGATAGCCAGCTCAATCTGGCTTTTTCTTCTGGGTGACTTCCTTCAGATAGGAAAAAAATTTTAGTTTTGACTATAGGAGGGGATGAGGTTCACTGTTCATGATCTGATTCTTGAATGTCTGAAATTTGAAAATAGGATTTTATGGTTACTGAGGAGAATGAATTTATTGAATTGGTGTGCTTGCATCAATGATGATGAAATTCCACTCTATGATTATTGTGTTTTTCAATGAAAATGATTAGTGGAGTTTTGCAAAATCAATGTCATTATATCCTAAAAAGTCAAAGCACACCTCAGAAATTCTGCACATTTGGAATGCTTTGATTGCATAGAATACCACATTCACTTCTCTTGCAGTATGGCCTGTACTCATCCTTCATTGGCTGCTTCATATATTGTGTGTTTGGGAGTGTGAAGGACATCACGATTGGACCAACAGCCATCATGAGCCTCATGGTGGGCACCCATGTAGCCTCCTTTGGTGCCTACTATGCAATCCTCCTTTGCTTTCTCTCTGGTGCCATCGAACTCCTTCTTGGACTTCTCAACCTTGGTTGGTCTCTTCATTTTGGTTTTCCTTGCCCGCATATTTATGAAGCAGTGGGCAAGGATGAACCTCCTTATTCTTGCAAGAAGGTTGAGTAACAACTCATCTTCCTTGGGCAGGTTTTCTCATCAACTTCATATCTGTGCCAGTGACCTCGGGTTTCACGTCGGCTGCAGCTGTGACCATTGCTTTGAGCCAACTCAAGGGAATCCTGGGTTTGGGAAAATATGTGGATTCCAATGATTTTTTGGAAACAATGGAACAGATTTTCATGAACATCAAACATTCCTCTTTGTGGGACATTATACTTGGGGTTGTCTGTTGCATCATCCTTCTCTTCCTTAGAGTAAGTGGTGATTTTTTTTTTTTACATCCTCCAAAGCCAGGTAGTTGACCTGTATATTTAATCTCTTGATCATGTGATGAGTCTTGAGCATGATGACAATATACATATTTTCTTTGTTGACTTACAGAAGCTCAGGGAATGGGACATCACCCGGTTTTTGCAGAGGCCTCGTCTACAGTTAATCTTGGGCAGATTCATCTGGCTAATGTCAACTGCTGGAAACGCATTAATTGTGCTCTTTTGTGCTGCCCTTGCATATGGGATCAGCGATCCTGACCATCCAGAAAAGATTCCATTCAAACTTACTGGTGGGAATCCTTGTTCCTACTCTCTCATATTTGATAGTCTGGTTCTCAGATTTCAGTGTTTTTTTTTCTTTTCTATCACATTAAATAAGATTTTATAAGTGTTGCTTTGCTAAAAAAAAATGCACCCACCAAGACTTGTAAGTTTTTGAGAATGGAACATGTCTCCTTTTGAGGAAACTTAGAAGAAAGACAGGAAGGAAAAGTACTTCCTTTTATTTCAGCCAGTAATAGACTTCAGATATACTGTACCCTTGATATTATTGAATATGCTTGTCTTATTTATGTTTTAAAACACCAATGAGATAGGGTGAGTGTACTGAATGTTGGTACTTTATGCCAATTTTTCACTACCATCTTGTCTGGTGTTTTCTGTATTGGAGCTTCCTTGTTCATGTTGGGTCAGATCATATCTCTATCATAAATCTCCTTGTACCGTATGCCTGGAGGGCCTGGGTCAAAGGTGAAGTTGGGTTGAATGTTGGAAATTTCAGCACACCACTGTTTTTGCAAAATGGATGCAACAAACTAATAAAACAATAGCTAGTGTGAAAGGGAACAGGAATTTGTGAAGCTTAGCAATATTTCCAGATTTTATGGGTTTTTTGGAGTGCTCTCAGAGAAGGCAGCCATTGCAAGAAAACTACAACAGCAAATTGGGCTTTTTCCAGCACATCTCAACAACATTAGTTCAACCATCTGAGAATAGATTTCTCCACATACCTAGAGGACTGGTTGTGGAAGCAGAGGGTTGATGATTGCTAAGTGCCGAGATTACCCCCAATGCCAACATTCTCAGCACTCACCATATGCCCCATATATTTGAAGTAACTACAAGCACACTCTTACTGGAGCATACTGCCACTGGTATTTTCTTTGTAGGCATGTCTAGTCTCTGCCTTTATTATTGGGGAATTTGCACAAAGGTCACTCGGAATTTGTTGCCCCTTCAGTGACTCTAAGAAGCCACCAGATGGGGATATGAGATACCTGTTTGAGAGAAAATAATTTGGTTGTTCCGTGGAATGCTTGTTTTCTGGCTTGACTGCGTCACACTATCTGAGAGCATGGATGAATCTCAGCATCATGTGAGGGTAAATTAAGGAGGATCTGGTATTGAGTATGCAAGAATATGTCCTGTGCCATAAAGCATGGATGCATTTTATGTGTCATGTATGGATGCTTCATCCATTTTGAGGGCATGGATGACTTTTATGTCAGGGATGTGTATGCCCAACATGACACATTGTTATGGAACTTTTGTTGTAACTGCAGTACTGCTGGCAAATGGTAAATCCACATGGACAACAGAAAACTAGGATCAAGTGAGATACCCTTGTTGCCTTTGTATTTCCTGCTAATTAACCCTTCAAGTAGGTATGATGGATATATCTGTATTGACCAATGTCCTTGATACACTTCATCTGTTTTTTATGTGGTAACATATCATGCTCTGCACTCTATATTTACAAATCAAGATAAAATGAAGGAGTTCATGTTCAGTTTGTTACATAAAGCAATGCAGATTAGCAACTTGCTGCAGTTCAATAATATGTACTTGTGGATTCCACCTTGATCAGAAAATTACATACATGATTAGTTCCTACCAGCATTCATCCTGTTGTGCCTTTATTGTTGTGTAGGTCATGTGAAAGGCGGATTGCCACCAGTTAGGCCGCCACCTTTTAGCATCCCTGGCAATGGCACAGAACCAGGAAAGGACTTCGGGGAGATGATCAATGACCTTGGTTCATCCATCATCATCATCCCATTCATTGCCATTCTTGAGAGCATAGCCATTGCCAAGGCATTTTGTAAGCAAATCTCTTCTCTGTCTGATCTCAAACTTCAATGCCAATGTCATTTTCTTGAAGTTTCTGAGTCTCATGCATCACATTTTATTCCTTTCTCAAGTGTAAGTTTCATGTTGGCAAATAACTTTGCTGATGGTTTCCCCATTCAGATGCATGGCTAAGAGTGAGGAATTAGCTTACACTTACTCTAAGGTTTTGATAGGATTTGTTACCTGATCAACTGTTAAAACACCATGCTCCATTTCAAGGAGTGAGCAAAGGATATTGTAGTATTTTTTGTCCTGAATTTGTTGATTTAGAACCAAAGAGTTAGTAAGTATTAAATTTCACTTTTTTAGGAGACAAGCTGATCTGATATGTATTCTCCTAGGAAATTGCTCATGAAACATTCTCCTATTTTCTCTCCTGCAATAGCTAAGACATTCCATCTGCCCTGCCACTACTCATTTCATGAAATGTTTGTGCTTTTTTAATGTTGCAGCTCATGGGAAACCTATTGATGCAAGTCAAGAGATGATTGCCCTGGGGCTATGCAACTTGGTGGGTTCCTTCTTCTGTTCCATGCCTGTTACAGGATCCTTCTCTCGAACTGCTGTCAATGCTGCTTCTGGGGTTAAGACCCCTGCTGGTGGCTTGGTCACTGGTATGTTTTCTATTGTACTATTCTTGTTCTTTTCTTGAAGTATCTTCATGAAGGATCATTTATGTAGGTGCTTTGGTGCTTTTGGCCTTGGCTCTCTTCACGCAATATTTCTACTACATTCCCAAGGCCACTCTCTCAGCTGTGATCATCTGTGCTGTGATCTTCATGTTTGAATATGATGAACTGATACGCATCTGGAAGTCCAAAAGTAGGCAGCATCTTTCATTTCAGAGGTTCTCACAGGTGTTATACTCAATAGTGTGCTGTACACCATGACAACTTTTCATATCCTCATGCACAGAGCTGGATGTGTTGCCATGGCTGGGGACATTCCTGTCATGCCTGTTGGTTGGACTTGAGTATGGGATATTGTTTGGAGCAGGACTGAATGTCTTTCTCCTTCTCTTAGAGGTTGCCAAGCCACGTATTTCAGTGCAGAAGCGTCAGGTGAGGTATGATCCCCCCTCCCTTACCAAACTTCTATTTCTCAAACATTCAGTTCCAATTATGCCTCTGTTTGGGATTTGAGAGCAGCCTCCACTGATTTAGTGTTTTTCGGAGGAAATATTCAGATTTTAGAAACTCAATTGAAAATTTAAGGTGTACATTGACATTTTTCTGCAGGCCATATCTACTGCCTAATTGACATACAAATTTACAGTTTCCTTTACAAAGATGACCCTGATTAATGATGCACAAAATAAATATGAATCCCTTTGATGTCACTGCATGCTTCTTCTAAATGAAGTATGTGAGATGAAGGAAGGTGATGATGTGACAGATGGGGGAGCATGAGTACATGCTGGTGAGACCACGAGGGGATTTAACCTTCCCAGCAACAGAAGAGGTGCGGACTACAATCTCCAAGAATGCCAACCAGCATCCTGGTGTCCCCATTATTGTTGACTTGGATCGCATCACAAACGCTGACTTCACCTCTGCTAAGGTGACCACCCTTACCTTCAACCCATTTTTCACTATTTTGTGAATCTTGATACATGAATCAATTTTCACTGCCAAAGATGCTGGCCATTTGCATGTGGAAACATTTTCTAATTTTATTCTTACCAACTGGGTCTATTGTTATATAAAAGGTTACTGGAAATTTAAATTTCTCTCATGTTCAGAAAGTTTCAGTTGATTATTCATGAGAGAACATAGAGTCCGTGAAATGACAATAGGATATTACCATCACATCATGATCTTAATGAATACATTAAATGAATACAGTTTCAGAGTTGGCACCCATCTCATCAGATAGAAAGTTTTAAGGTGCCCCCACCCTTCTTTCAGTTCCTCAACCAATTATATTTAGACTTGTGGGGTTCTTTGAGGCAAAGTCCATCTGTTTAAAAGATTTTAAAAAGTGAAACATTGTTGTGTCTCATCATGCTATTGCTGTGATTGGACAGGCAATGGGAGCAATGGGAAGAGACTTGGCTGAGCAAGGCCGGGAGTTGGTGTTTGTTCATGTTGGGAAGGGGACCAGGGATGTTCTGGATGCAGGGATGCATGGACATTTCAAGGATTTCCATACCATTAGGGAGTGGATTCATGAAACTCGTCCTACCGATCCTACTTCTGCATGTAAAGGTGTATTTCTTGTGTCTATTTTTCATGGCATGGAATGTGGCCAGGCAACATTAGCAATGCAGAATGAGGGAGCATGAGTAGAGATGCATATTTTTTGGTTTATTTTAAATGCAAGTGTCCCATGTCCTCTGTTTCTGCAGCTAAAATTTCTTAATTGCAACAGAAAATATGCATCCTTCATGCTTTATTTTGTTTCTCAAAAAAAAGAATAAAAAACTAATAACCACACCTGCCAATTGCATGATTGTTATTGGCATTATGCAGAATACTACTTGTCTAGCTGCCTTTTAATCCCTTCTTCCATGTTGATGCTTCTCCTTTACCATGCCTTTTATACCATATAGCCATCTGTTTTACTACCCATTGTGTCTTCCCATAAATCCAAAGCACTAATTTTTTTTGTTACCGTTCACCTTAGCTGAGTAATACCCTGGTTATACATTTCTAGTTGCTCAGTTTCAGTATTTCATACTTAATGGGGTATGGCTTTTCTTGTCTTCTATTCAGCAAGACAGTTCCATCTTCAGTACATAATGCCCATTGTCATAAAATGTTGCCATTTTAAAAGAGATAATTTTATTCATCAGTCACCATTAGGGTGCTGGAAATCTTACTGAATGGCTTAGAATCAACCTCTCTGTTATTGATCACATGGATGTTGGGCTGAAGGTCTTCCTGTGCAGAATATGAGCTAGTGTACTTCAATATTTGTCCCCAGAATTGGAAGATACACATGCCAAAATAATAAAAAAATGAGACTAGCCATTAAAAAGCACACATAAACCTGATATATGTCAGTGGTCACTCTCTTAATGTTTTTCACTAACAGCAGGATGACTAGTTCATATTCCATTCTAAAAGATTGCATAATATGTCATGAACGAAAATGGCAAATTCCATCTTCTACAGGACTGCATGAGCATTCCATTTGAGACAACTAAGGAGTGATCATTTGAACTAAGGATGACATTGGGAGAATTATTCATTGACTTTGGCAGGATGATGAACCCATCACCTTGAAGATTGTATTAACTGAACATTGTAGGAGGAGTATCATTCTCAATGCGGATCATCTCCACAATGTGTCACATAAGTTGGGATTCCAGTAGAGGTTTACTGTGGATCACAAATATGGCATGCTCAGAAATGGCTTCATGTTTCTGTTGGGCATTATCACTTGAGAAAGATCCCTTCTATTTGGTGAAAATTGATTGGAAGCTAATGTTCCATCTTACACAAGACCTTTCCCTGAGTCTCAGAGCTTCAGTCTTGTGCAGGGCTTCCCAGAGGTTTCCAGAGTTTCAGGGCCAAACTAAACTGAAGGCAACCTTGGGGCCCCTTGATACTTGAGGCCAAGGGCAGATTTTCCCTGATACCTCTTTCCTGGGCAGCCCTGGACTTGTGTGAATGGGAGTCATCACCACTACATGTGTGGATCCATAAGACAAGAAACATCACTACTCATTTCAACTGGCATGGAATGCTGACACTGATTTCCATCTGGTTGTGGTGCCATCTTCTCATTTTCAAAACCAAGATCGAATTGAACAATTACCGTGCTATCATTAAGACTGGGACTTCATGGAATGATTTCAGGGCATTCCTTCCAGTCCCAAAGGAATGCTTCATTATAGTCACTGATGGTACGAGGTATCACAATCAAAAGACCACAGGTTGCCCTGTATCAATGATTGTATCCAGGATCCCATAGATTTGATAATAGCCAGCAGAAAAGAGAATTTCTTTGTTGTCAGATTTAAAAGTGGAGCTCCCTTTGACTGTCAAATGTATGGCTAATGACATGACTTAGATCATACCACTCTCCAAACTCCAACGTGTCACAGCATGTTGAGATCCCATGAAGACCAGTAAGAGAGACTTTATGGTTCTTATTCAACGGTGTTTGTGGGTGAAGGACCTGCTTTATTCATACCTCACCTTTCATCATTCCACTTGAAAATATAATAATAATGAAAAAAAGGATTTATGGCTAACATTGGTTTTATGCTTTTTTATTTTTTAAGCAATGTCTCTTCTCCCATTTCATTCCAATATCCTTATACTTTTCCTAAGTGAAACTTAGATGACGATACAGGTTGCAGATACTCAGACAGCAGCTTTGCAATTGCATATCATCACTTTGAATATCTCGTTCCTCAGGGGACGACTCGGCTCGCACCCACTCCGAGGGAGATACTTATGTGCCAAGGTTCTGAAGGGAGGCAGAAGGCAACATGGTTCCCACACACAACACTACAAACTACAACGGAGCACTTACATCCCTTCTCATTCCATGGTGACCTTCAAGTCGTTATCTTCATTCGATGTGGCTGTGGCATCAATTACCTGAAGTTCTCATGTCTTTGGGGCATTCTAAATCTCAAGCTTTATTTATTTTTTGTGTTCTATTTATCCAAAGCAGTGACATTGGTTTATTATTTGTATATTAGACTGTGTTTTACTGTCATGACTGCAGAAGAATGCCTCAACCTTGTGTCAATTTCTATCCAATCTGATGATTTGCCCTTCCCTTCCTCCCCACCCCACTCCAACTGCAAATTCTGGACACTGGAATTCCAAGACTCAATTTGTTTATTCTGCTGTGACGTAATAAAGCATTAAATTTTTCTTGTGACTGTCATTCAACAAACCAGCACGCTTTAGAGGCGGAGAATGCAATTTGTAATGCTGCGTGAAAGATTTAATTTGAAGAAATGCTAGTACGAGGTGCGTTCAAGTTCTAAGGTCTCCTAATATTTTTCTGGGGACCGGGTGCAGAAAGAAACATGCGTTTGAGCTTAAAATACGCGGGTACTCTTTGTTTATGCATGAACGAGATGGCAGCACCGTACAGCGCACTGGGTTCTTGTAGCTGCCGCACGAGTGAGAAGCGTTTTTAATGAAGATAACGACTTGAAGGTCACCATGGAATGAGAAGGGATGTAAGTAGTTTGTCAGAAAAAAATTAGGAGACCTTAGAACTTGAACGCACCTCGTACTTCGAATATTGTGGGGCATGCTCCATAGGCGGCGATCTGTTGAGAAATATGGGGGGGGGGCTCAGAGACAGTATTCTTGCAAGTATTCCGTATTCTCTTGTCCTAGCTGTGAGCCCCTTGTGCAAAATTTTGAGCCTCTATGAATCGTCGCCTATGCCATACTCTTAGAAATAATGCTCTTAGATTGACCTGGAAAGTAAAGAATGCCTGGAATAAGTGTTCCAATTTAACCGTCGTACTATGCCTTGGGCACTCGAGGAAAAACAGGCATGTAAATATGCCTTTTTTTTTTTGCCTGGGATCGTTCCTGAAGGTTTCCTCTTGAGGAACGAAACAGGAGGGAAATGGCTTCCATCGTGGGGCATCCGTGAGCATGGAGCCTCGTCGCTCCATCGGTCGCTCCGCTTATCTAGTGCATTTCTGAGGCTGCGGATGGACGAAGAAGCGGGACCGGTGACGTGGCAATCGGAGGGCATAGAGCTCGGGAAGGGAAGCATCTGTTGCGTGCATTGCAACACCAGCGTCGAGGCGGACATGGCGACGACGACCTACCTCACCGGTAACCCAAGAATCTCCTTTATTTAATTAATAATTCCTTCCTCCTTTTACTCCTGTCAAAAATGTCTTGAAGCGATCGCGTTGGTGCTGGGGGGCCTCGGGGCGGCCCAGGACGGTAGCAGCCCGTGCGAACCCCGCCAGTACGATTACGATTCGGTCGTGTGCGTGTGCACGGCGGAGTACTGCGACTTTCCGGGCGTGATTCACGCCCCGGACGACACTGAGCTCTACACGGCCGTCACGTCGAGCAGGGACGGGCTCCGGTTCGAGACCCAACAGCTACCGTTTGCCGACCGGACCGGTTCGTCTTCGAGTTTCTTGGGTGTCTTCGCGTTTTTCTCGCAGATTTTTCTTTGCTTTTCCTCATTCGAGATGTGCGCCAAATGGCACGCGCCGACTTTAACCTGCAAGTGATGCTACTTTTTTTCGCAAAAAAATTTGCTCGTCCCCTAAGTCTTGAATGGTACAATATCGCTCGTCGAGAGGAAACCACTCCCTTCGCTCCAGAGCGACGAATTCCTTCTCGCGTTCCTTCGACAGACGAGACGACGACGAGGACCCGCGTGCGGGTGAACCGGCAGGAGGAATACCAGAGCCTGCTGGGATTCGGCGGGGCGTTCACGGATGCGGCCGGACTCAACATCAAGTCTCTGGAGCCTGCGGCTCAGGAACTCATCATCAGGTATGCCTGCCTTTATTACAGATCACTCGCCTAAGTCGGAAATAGTGGTGTTGGGTGGTCGAACGCTTTAAAGAACGACGGAATGAGTCCACATCGGGATCGATGTTCCCTCGAGGACTGAGTGTGAACGCTCGACCCAGCCTCGAATGGGAAGACGGCGAGATTTCCGCGCCGCCCAGAAGATGGCAGCACTGGGGCGGTGGGAAAACGGCATGTCGCTCGTTCCGCTCCAGTCTCGGGAGGGGGACGCGCGAAGCACATCGTGGAGGTCCCCATGGTGATTCGAGTGGCTGCGGTTCTCGTGCTTTATTGGGTTTTTCGTGCCTATGTCCCCGGCATGATCGCGTCGTTTCCCAGCAGAGTCTCCCTCCTCTCCGAACAAACCGGCTGAAATAGCATCGTTGAACTCGCTTTGTCGTTCGACCTCACGTCACGATTGCACTCGTGGGGACCTAAGCGCCATCCCAAAGGAAAGAGGACTTTATCCCGATTTCAGTTTCATAGCAACAAGAGTTTTTACGTCTCTTCAATGTCGACAGATCTCCCATTCCTTCCTGTCGATTAGAAAACAGCCCAAACTAGTCATTCCACTGACTCCTATATCACTGGAATTATCTTCACCGCATCCTAACCATCCAAAATTGAAACTAGAGAGTACCAGTCCAGGTAAAGATCTGCCATTCCATTGGCCTCTATACCACTGGAATTATCATCTTCGTCGCATTCTCAGCATTCAACCTTGAAATAAATAAGAACTTATTGGCCTAGGCTTATATAGAAAGTCCCAGACAACTAGATGTGTTTTCGATGGTCCGCGCGTCGCAAGGAGATGAGAGTATGAAGTGCAGGATGCCAGATGTGGCATTTCATGCGTACGCCTAGCAACCCTGTCGACGCCGCCGGGAGCAGCCGCTCTCCCCCATCGTCTACTATGGATCCGTCAACCGCGAGGGTCGGAAGGGAAGTGGATGTTTTCGTGGAAGACGGGCACCTAGACTCAGACGGAAAGCTGCGCATGCGCAGTGGGTCGTGTTGTCCGGTCGCTATGATTATCGAGGACAGACGGAATGGCACAAAAAAAAGTGACAGACCGATCACAATATCTGCCATTTCCCCATAGTAACTACTGGGATATAGCAGATGAAAATAGTTGTATGAGGCTGAACTCTTCATCTCCTTCCCCCCAGATCCTACTTCGCCCCAGAGGGAATCCGCTACAACATCGGCCGCATCCCGATGGGCGGGAGCGACTTCTCCACTCGGCCTTACTCCTACGACGACGTCGAGGGCGACGAGGCCTTCGAGTTCTGGTCCCTCGCCTTCGAGGACCTCGAGTACAAGATCCCCCTCGTCCACCTGGCGAGGGAGGTGTCCGAGGAGGAGGTCCTCCTGTTCGGGTCCGCCTGGTCCGCTCCCAGGTGGATGAAGACCAACAACGACTTCATCGGCGAGGGCCGGCTCAAGGACGAGTACTACCAACTCTGGGCAGATTATTTCATCAAGTACTTTTTCTTTACTACTTTTCATCTGTACTTTTAGCACTGTACAGTAATTTTGAATTGGAAATGCGTTATTCGAACTTTCGCAATTATATTTGTGCTTGGAAAAAAAAAATACAATACATAAAAGATTGACGCGATGGGAGAAGCAAATCGAGGTTCTGTCCCGTCGTCAAGGACTGCAGGCTTGGCAAACGATAATTACAATTTTTTTTATTATCTATTCGTTCGTGTCTTAATAATCACGGAACGCCATTAGGTTTCTCGAGGCATACTCGGCGGCAGGACTGGACATGTGGGGACTGACGGCGGGGAACGAGCCGACGAACGGGAACATCCCGGGTTTCAGCTTCAACTGCATGGGATGGACGCCGGAGACCCAGCGGAAGTGGGTGGCGGAGAACCTCGGTCCCACCCTGAGGGCGGCCGGGTACGGCAAGGACAACTTGACCTTGATGGTGTTCGACGACCAGCGCGCTTACGTCGAGACGTGGCTGCCGACGGTGGGTCCGACTCGCGTCGCGAAATTCGTCTCGGAACTCGCGACCGAGCGTCGACACGGAGTCGCTTCTCTTCCAGATCCTGGGCGACCCCGTGATCGGCGAATACGTGTCGGGCTGGGCCGTGCATTGGTACTGGAACTGGCTGTTCGGGCCGGAGATCCTGGACGGGGCCCACGCGGACTACCCCGACTTTTGGATCCTGGCGACGGAGGCGTGCGAGGGATCCGACCTCGGCGAGCCTCCCGTGTCGCTCGGGAATTGGCTCTATGCGGAGTCCTATGCGCATAACATCATCGAGGTGGGTCGGGGAGCTGCGTCGCGTCTCTTTCCTTATTTGGGGTCGTTTTCGGGAAGATCGAGGGAGGGTGGGTAGAAATATCCGGTTCCATCGGTGAGGAGGTTGAAAAAAAACGACGTTTTTCTGGGTCAAGGAACTCGTTCGTCGGCTTTTTAAAAAATGCTCATTCGAAAGCTTTTCGAGTAACTTCGATCTAAGTACCATTCTGCACGAACTTGAAACGCGTCCCGTGATCGAAGGACCTGAACCACTGGGTGAGAGGTTGGGTGGACTGGAACCTGGCCCTGGACCTGGAGGGGGGACCCAACTGGGCCGCCAACGAGGTGGACGCCGGAATCATCGTGAACGCGACGGCCGGCGAGTTCTACAAGAACCCGATCTTCTACGCCTTGGGCCACTTCTCCAAGTTCATCCCGAGGGGGTCCGTTCGCCTGGGGCTGGAGGTGGCCGGGGCGGTCGAGGCCCTGGCCACGAGCACGCCCGAAGGGGATGTCGTCGTCGTCCTGCTCAACACGTCAGCTTCCCTCTCTTTCCTTTCCTGTAACTTTCTAACTTTTATAAGATTCTTCGGGCTTTTCATTTTGGGTGTATAATGGGAGCGTAAAGTCGTTCGCAAACGAGATCGATGGGGATTCCAATGAACCGAGCGAGATGGCAGTGTTTCTCATTAATTATTGAGCTTTCGTTCCCTCTCGTCCAGTCCACTCGCGGCAAGCTCGGCCATCGACTATCGATCTGCACGAAGTCGACTGTCGATCGACGATCGCATCGAAATGTATGTTTCTCTCGTTCGATTCGACAGAAGCGGAGCGGAGCAAGTGGTGGAGATCGAGGATGGAGACAGATTCGTCTCGCACACCATGCCTGCCAAGTCGCTCGTGACCTTGCTCTGGAGCACATCCGTGGAATAAATTCTGTTTGGTTTCGACCGTAACGTGTTTGTATTGTACGAGACGAGATTGCCGCGACTTTCAGATAATGGCAGCACTGCGGCGACGAGAATCGGGGATAGCCCTCTCTTCGCTCCAGTCTCTGGAGGGGAGCGACGCGAGAAGCACATCGCGGAAGTCCACTAAGGCGTTTTGGGCTGCGTTTCTCGCGCCTCATTCGGCTTTTAGTCCCTTTGTTGCCCATCGCGATCGCGCATTTTCCAGTCGGCTCTCCACCGCTCTCTACCCTCGCCGATAGAACTAGCTGATATACCATCGATGGACTCGCTCTGTCGTACGACCTCACCCCACGATCGTACCCGTGGGGGAGCTATTTCCCAAACGAAGGAAGACTCCTTCGTTCATATATGCCTAGACTGGACAGGCCAATGGAGAACGCCAGGCAACCACACGCCCATTAGTAGGGTCAGCCGCCATCGCTCATGGCGTTAAATCGACCAATAAACGCATAGCTCTTCCATTCATGACGTCACACTACACTGAGTTTTGACGCTCACCACGACCAGGTAGGCCTAGGCCTAGGCCTACCTGGTCTTCATTGACCGAGTAAGGTATTTTGCAATTGATTAATGCTACCTATTCCGTCTTTATTTTGATTGCACTCAGTAACGAGAGGGTGCATCATCAGTTTCCCATGCTGTTAGGCTCAGGGTCAACATGAGGATTTGAAAGTTCCGCCACACCTAAGGTTAGACCCCGCAAAAGGGTCAATAGTAATCAAAAACCCGATTCATCATTGTAAGACGTGATACCCAACCCAGTCAATGGTCCTTCATAGCATCCGAATCCTGAACACATTGACCATGACTTACCGTGCGCCTCAGTGAATCCCAGGCCTCTTCGTCTCCTTGACGCCATCAGTAATGGCTGCCAACCTTTCAGATCAGAGACATGGTAAATATACCTAGACTGGACAGGCCAATGGAGAAAGCCAGGCAGCCTCACGCCGATTAGAAGGGTCAGCCGCCATCGCTCATGGCGTCTAATCGACCAATAAACGCATAGCTTTCCAATTCATGACGTCACACTACACAGTTTTGACGCCCAAGAAGACCGCGTAGGCCTAGACCTAGGCCTACCTGGTCTTCAGTGACGATGCATGGTATTTTGAAAATTGATTAATGCCACCCATTCCGTCTTTATTTTCATTGCACTCAATAATAAGAGGGCGTATTATCAGTTCCCCATGCAGTTAGGCTCAGGGTCTACATGAGGCTGTTCAGCAGGCTATGAAAATTCCGCCGCACCTAAGGTTAGACCCCGCAAAAGGGTCAATAGTTATCAAGCCAGATTCATCATTGTAAGGCCTGATACCCAACCCAGTCGGTGGTCTTTCATAGTATACGAATCCTGAGCACATTGACCATGTGCGCTTCAGGGAATTCCATGCTTCATCCTCTCCTTGACGCCATCAGTAATGGCCGCCAGCCCTTCAAATCGGCGTGAAATCTTCGACTGCCATGTCCAGTCTAGGTATATTTACCATGTCTCTGTTTCAGATCGGCGTAAAATCTTCGACCGCCATGTCCAGTCTAGGAATTTTTACCATGTCTCTGATATATACCATAAAACCACCACCACATATACATCAGAGGCTAAAATGTTCGTCATTCCAGAAAACTCCTCCCAAACGGATAAACGGATTTTAATCATTGAGGTGTCAATCGAAAGCTCATGACCTGGAGGCGAAACTTATTGGTTCGAAAGGCCAAAAAGTACGCTGCGAACGTGGTTTCTATGGGTTCTACTGTCTTTCTGCGCGTCAGAGGCCTGCACGGGTTCACTTTTCCCAGTTGAAACTCGATCAGCCCGATTGGAATCGTGGCCCGCACTCGACCCGGAACGCGATCGTCGACCGAGCTTTGATGCTCAGAGCAGCGGATCGTGTTGTTCTGATATGGCCGGCCACAAGTCCGCTTACGTCTCAAAGATTGAGATTACCTCGTACGTCTCATGACGTACGAGGTCTGATCAAAAAGTTCCAGAACTTTTATTCATGAACTTTATTTTTAATAAGTACATTAAAATTAATTGTTGTCCCCTTCAAAGCATTCCCCCCACGATGCTATGGGCATATCACAACGATCCTGCGCCTTCTGGAAGCAGTGCTGGAAGTCCTGGAGTGTAAGATTCTTAAGCTGCCTTGTCGCATTTTTCTTGATGCTTGCAATGTCTTCAAATCTTTTTCCTTTCAGGTGAAATTTAATCTTGGGGAAGAGGCAAAAGCCACATGGAGCCAGGTCCGGTGAATTGGAAGGGTGGAGCAACACCGGAATTTTTATTTAGCGAAAAACCCTGGAATTGTGAGAGGAGTGTGGGCTAGAGCATTGTCGTGATGCAAAAACCAGGCTTCATTTTGGAATAGTTGAGGCCGTTTTCTCCTAATTTTTTCTCGCAGACGGGTTAAAACATCTTCTTAGTAAGTCTGATTAACTGTCTGGCCTTGTGGGACAAACTCATGATGCATAAGGATCACGAAGCATGATCGAAAATTCGACGAAGAACACATAGACGACCTGATTTCAACACTCGTGATTCACGACTGGTTAATCCTAACGCACAGGAGGCTTCAACATGCGCGCGGCTACATCCCCACTCAAACCTACACTAATCCTAGCCCCGTACCTAAAGCAGTTTATTTTTTAACAAAAAAGTACTGGAACTTTTTGATCAGACTTCGTATTTGCCCCAAGGGGAGAGGGAAGGGAGCCTGGCAGATTTGCTCACAAACGTATTTTCGGGTGGAACGGTTAAGAATGAAGGGCATTCTGTGCAAGTAGGCAGGGTGGCGAAGCGTGCCTTTGGCATGGGAAACCGTGCAAGACAAATATATTGGGAAGTCTGAAATTCATTAAAATTTCCCTATGCACAGAAAAACTTCTTTCTTAGGGATGGGTTGTGTGAAATCGATGCCTGGCCGTCTCTCTTCCATAGGCATATACAGTCGACTCCGCATAATGGAATACCGCTTAATAGAATACTCCGCTTAATGGAATACCATTGTCCGGTCCCGATTTTTCGCCCATAGGGCGCATTATAAAAAACATCGCATAATGGAATACGGTTATTAGAATAATTCGCTTAAAGGAATAAAACTTTCCTGGATGGTAAAATAATTTTCTTTATCTTCTGAGGAACAAATGGCTTATTTTTTCCTTGTACATTCTTGGAAAATCCCCACCGACCCTCTTTCCCAGTTCCCACCCTCATGCTTCGTGGAACCACCCCTTCCTGGAAATTAGGGTGTAAATATAGGCCGCAGATGTGGAGACGACCTGACCTCAGGTGAAAGTGGAAGCAAGTTCACTTGGGCAATAAATAGAGTCTCTAAGCAACAGATCTGCTCATTCCGAGTTCACAATGGGGAGAAGGAAGGACCTCAGCTTGGCCGAGAAGATTGCAGTTCTGAGTGCCCATCAAGACGAAAAGAAGACGCAAGCTGAACTGGCTCGGCAGTTCGGGATCTCCCAGCCGCAAGTTTCCAAGATCATCAAAGACAAGGAAGCGTTAGAGGTGGAATATAAGAAGAACGGAAACCAGAGCAGGAAGCGCAAACGGGGAAGCAAGGCAGGAGATGTTGACCAAGCGTTGTGGCTGTGGTTTCAGCAGATGCGATTGAAAGGACTGCCGATCAATGGAGCTCTCCTGAAGGAAAAGGCGATGAAATTGGCAGGGGAAAAAGGCATACCCGACTTCACTGCTTCTGAAGGATGGTTATCAAGGTGGAAGATCCGACACAACTTGGTTTTTAAGAAGATCTGCGGGGAATCCAAAGATGCTGATACAGAAGCGGCAGCATCCTGGGTGACAAACGTGCTCCCAGGATTAGTGAAAAACTTCTCTCCCGACGCAGTATACAACTGCGATGAAACTGGTTTGCTTTTCCGTGAAATTCCCGACTGCACCTTTGCGAAGCGGAATGAGAGTGTTCGTGGTGGCAAGAAAACTAAAGAGAGGATAACCGTACTCCTTTGTGCCAATCAGACAGGAGACGACAAGATAGCACCGTTGATCATTGGTAAAAGCAAGAATCCTCGGTGCTTCAAGCATCTGAAGAACATCCCGTTGCCGTATGAAGCAAACAAGAATGCCTGGATGACCCAGCAGGTCTTTGATAAGTGGATCTTAGACCTGGATGAAACCATGAAGAAAAAGAAAAAGAAGATAATCCTATTTATGGATAATGCCACATGTCACGGGAGCGCTGCAAGCCTCAAGCTGAGCAATATCAAGATTGAATATCTGCCGACCAACACAACGTCGTTAATTCAACCTATGGATGCAGGCGTTATCAAGAACTTCAAGTGCCACTACCGTAGGAAGATCCTGCAGAAGATCTTGAGCAGTCTTGAGGAAGATGAAGCCCTGTCTGCAAAGGACATGGCAAAATCTGTCAGTTTGCTCGATGCAATTCATATGTTGAAAAGTGCATGGGATGAAGTGAAGTCAACAACAGTGGTCAACTGCTTTAAGCAGTGCAAGTTTCCAGCTACTGCTGATGAACCAGCTGAAGAGGAACCCGAACGGTCCGAAACACTACAAGCGAGCGATGAGGATCCACCCTTTGGAATGACTCAAGAAGAATTTCTGCTTTATGTTGAATGCGATGAGAATGTGGACGTTTGTGGTGAGTTCAGTGACGCCGAACTCCTCCAGATGGTACGGCAAGACCAAGATAAATCGGATGAAGAAGATGAAAATCATCCGGAGGATGACAAGGAAACGGAAGCCCCCCCATCAAACAGTGAAGCTCTGAAGCTTCTTCATCGACTGCGCCTCTACATCGATTCCACGGGCGTGTCAGCCCTAGACGAAATATATCAACTAGAGAGCAAGGTCCAACGTCATGTGCTGGCTGCCAAGATGAAGCAGAAGAAGATCACACATTTCTTTTAAGCGTTATGTGCTTCTTTTTAAGCGCTTTTTGGAGGTACCGTACAGTAGTCATTTTAAAAAATGTA